ATCCGCAAATTTGCTGAGAGTGCAATCCACACCATCCTCCAGATCATTTATGAAGATATTGAACAAAACCGGCCCCAGGACCGACCCTTGGGGCACTCCACTTGATACCGGCTGCCAACTAGATATGGAGCCATTGATCACTACCCGTTGAGCCCGACAATCTAGCCAGCTTTCTACCCACCTTGTAGTGCATTCATCCAGCCCATACTTCCTTAACTTGCTGACAAGAATACTGTGGGAGACCGTGTCAAAAGCTTTGCTAAAGTCAAGAAACAATACATCCACTGCTTTCCCTTCATCCACAGAACCAGTAATCTCATCATAAAAGGCGATTAGATTAGTCAGGCATGACCTTCCCTTGGTGAATCCATGCTGGCTGTTCCTGATCACTTTCCTCTCATGCAAGTGCTTCAGGATTGATTCTTTGAGGACCTGCTCCATGATTTTTCCAGGGACTGAAGTGAGGCTGACTGGCCTGTAGTTCCCAGGATCCTCCTTCTTCCCTTTTTTAAAGATTGGCACTACATTAGCCTTTTTCCAGTCATCCGGGACTTCCCCCGTTCGCCACGAGTTTTCAAAGATAATGGCCAATGGCTCTGCAATCACAGCCGCCAATTCCTTCAGCACTCTCGGATGCAACTCGTCCGGCCCCATGGACTTGTGCACGTCCAGCTTTTCTAAATAGTCCCTAACCACCTCTATCTCCACAGAGGGCTGGCCATCTCTTCCCCATTTTGTGATGCCCAGCGTAGCAGTCTGGGAGCTGACCTTGTTAGTGAAAACAGAGGCAAAAAAAGCATTGAGTACATTAGCTTTTTCCACATCCTCTGTCACTAGGTTGCCTCCCTCATTCAGTAAGGGGCCCACACATTCCTTGGCTTTCTTCTTGTTGCCAACATACCTGAAGAAACCCTTCTTGTTACTCTTGACATCTCTGGCTAGCTGCAGCTCCAGGTGCGATTTGGCCCTCCTGATAACATTCCTACATGCCCGAGCAATATTTTTATACTCTTCCCTAGTCATATGTCCAACCTTCCACTTCTTGTAAGCTTCTTTTTTATGTTTAAGATCCGCTAAGATTTCACCATTAAGCCAAGCTGGTCGCCTGCCATATTTACTATTCTTTCGACTCATCGGGATGGTTTGTCCCTGTAACCTCAACAGGGATTCCTTGAAATACAGCCAGCTCTCCTGGACTCCTTTCCCCTTCAAGTTAGTCCCCCAGGGGATCCTGGCCATCCGTTCCCTGAGGGAGTCGAAGTCTGCTTTCCTGAAGTCCAGGGTCCGTATCGTGCTGCTTACCTTTCTTCCCTGCGTCAGGATCCTGAACTCAACCAACTCATGGTCACTGCCTCCCAGATTCCCATCCACTTTTGCTTCCCCCACTAATTCTACCCGGTTTGTGAGCAGCAGGTCAAGAAAAGCGCCCCCCCTAGTTGGCTCCTCTAGCACTTGCGCCAGTCCCAAGTGAGTTATGCATGTCTTCCCTAACAATACCAATAAAAACTCTGTTTATACATATACTTTAAAAGATTTTTTTAAGGAATCAGATACATGTTTATTATATTTGTCATATGCATCCCACAAGCCAGGTTCCTCATCATCAAAGTAACAATCTCTATAAATGATCTAAAGAAGCTTTTTTGTAAATCAGTTAATTGGAATTGTAAGGTCCCATATCTTGTGAGCTGCCTGATAAAATAATTAATGCTATGTATTACTGGGGCACATGGAATCCCAGCTCTCCAATAATAAAGGATCACGTGCTTCTACCCATGGGGTCACAAGTTCAGACTGTAAAAGGGACAGTGTCAACTTGGCAAAAAAATAATCAAACATATCAGAAAATAATGTACCTATTATGTTAGCAAGTATCACCTCAGATCACTAGAACTGAAACTATTATATGAAACACACTGATATTTTCCCCCAGATTGTACATCCGACATCACTGTGTCTAATCAGTTTCACCCTTATAATCAGTTAGGTTTCCTCTGCTGAAAAGATCCTTAGAAAGATCACAAGATCCTTGATCTTGATAAAATTCTGTTTCAAAGGAATTTAAAAATCTTCAGGACTGTTATTTAAGAAGTCTAACAGAAACTGGATATTTTTAATTATTAAATTTTTAAAAATTCAAGTTGCCAGTATCCCTTTAAAACTACCCAGGACAATTTAAGGAGTCACTTTTAGAAGTTTAGCTTCCAGTAACACACTTTTTCAGCCCAAGCAGAATTCACTCTAAAGCAATCAGATCAGCCAACTGGATCTGAGGAGTTAACTGAATCCTGTATTTCTCTTTCACAGAAGTACATTTCAAGAAGCTCATAATAGGCTGAGTCATTTGAGACTAGGCCAGTAGATCCACCTCAGCTATTAAATATAACAACTTTCTCCTGGTGACCAGATTTTGAGGTCATCCTGACAGATCTTACCCTTTAGTCCTGGAAGACTAAAAAAAAGTTACACATGATGATTTAGTTGGTGTTGGTCCTGCTTTGAGCAGGGGGTTAGACTAGATGACCTCCTGAGGTCCCTTCCAACTTGGATATTCTATGATATCCATCTTACATAGCTCAGGAAAGGCATTAAAACATTACAGTCATTCTACTAACATCCAGATCCCCTAAGAACCCATTTTTCTCCCACCTGTACAAGCTCAGATAAACACAATACAATGAGTCCGATGAAGTGAGCTGTAGCTCACGAAAGCTTGTGCTCAAATAAATTTGTTAGTCTCTAAGGTGCCACAAGTCCTCCTTTTCTTTTTGCGGATACAGACTAACACGGCTGCTACTCTGAAACCAAACAAGACAATGTGTAGACAATGTGCAGTATCATCCAATTGCCTCATGAAAGAGCATTCAGTTCACTGGGCTGCATCATGAAATGTTGCAGCTAACAACTAACTTCTGTTAGGCCCCACTTTGCTTTGCTATCCACTGTTGAAACAGTACTGGTAAAGGATTCCAGAAGAAAGCGTTCAGATAATTTGGTTTGTGACTAGTTCAGTAGAGGATTAAATGGGTCACTCTCCAAGTAAGCAGAATTCTGAAGTATGTGGTATCCTCTAAACCTATATAAAAGGTTAAAAGTATTGAGGGGATCCACTCCCTCTCCACCACCTTGAGTCAACTTAGTATTCAGTTTTCAGAGTAACAGCCGTGTTAGTCTGTATTCGCAAAAAGAAAAGGAGTACTTGTGGCACCTTAGAGACTAACCAATTTATTTGAGCATGAGCTTTCAAAAGCTCACGAAAGCTCATGCTCAAATAAATTGGTTAGTCTCTAAGGTGCCACAAGTACTCCTTTTCTTTTTTAGTATTCAGTGAGCATGTGCCATCTGCAAGAAAACCAAAATCAGAGCCAGCTATCCATGCTCATTTAACTTTCTTCATTGATACTAGAATGTGAAAGTGCTGAACCAGCAGCTATTTCTGAAAAAATTGCAGGACAAGTCAGCATATCCAGCTGCACAGAACAGAAACAGCACATATTTGCATCTGCACATGTATCCCATACATCGTCCTGCAATTAAGTGGTTAACTATTTGGATTCAAGATTAATTTGAATTATTTGCTGAGGGAAGTTCAGAGCTCTCTTGATGCTATTGTTTCAGTTTCTCTGACTGCAACTCAAGACAATCATGCACTAGTTTACACTGTGAAGACCATCTTTGCAACTAGAGAGACTAGAAACTTCATTTAAATAAAAAAAAAAAGCTTAGCTCTCAGAGACAACAGCAAAAATCCATTAGTTTTGCGGCTTTTCCACAGCGTGGTTTTGTATTGTCCTTATATACAAAACAAATATCCAAGATATTACAAGAGTCTCAGAGTGTGGGCACCCTCACGTGTCAAAACAAAAGCAACAATGAAGATCGCATTCACAGCCTATTACCATGAGCTTCATGTCTGGGCTTGCACTTCCAAGCAGTTTACTTCTCATTCATGCGTCTACAAACTGGCCTTTGAATACACTATGCTTTCATTCTGTGAAGATTTGTCTGATTCAAAGTAGGGTTTAGTTCTCCTGGCAGTAGTTCATTATTTAACAATTAAACACTAAGCCAACAAAGTATGTATCCACCCCAGGAAACCAATTTAAGAGTAGACAGTGACAAAAATAGGTAGCAAGGTGGATAAAAAAAAATCAAGGATTTTTTTTTTAAAAGATCAGATTTTTTTTTAATTTAAATTGGATTTTTTGATAGTTTTTGAGGAAAAAAACTATCTAATTTAAAGATCATTTTAATTAAGATACATTATAGCTCAAAGATATCTCATCATGGAATAAGGATTATAAATTCTAAAGTATGAGACATTATATTCATGTAATGTTTAAAACAAGTTTTGTAGAATCATAGAATATTAGGGTTAGAAGAGACCTCAGGAAGTCATCTAGTCCAATCCCCTGCTCAAAGCAGGACAAACACCCACTAAATCATCCAACAAATGTAAATGAGTTCCAATAGTTCATGGATTAGGGACCCAATTTTATGGGGTTCTGGGGGCTTCTGTCTAGATTATTTAGGTTAACCTTTCTATCGACCCAATGGGGCTCAGTGCTCAGTCTAAAAGATACCATCAGAGATGCTTAGTTTTGCAGTTCTCAAACTGTGGATTTGTGTCTCCAGAGATAACATGCTTGTTAACAGCAAAAATGTTTTAAATAAATAAATAAATATATAGAAGCAAGACATAACAGACCTCAACCTTATTGTCCCTCTGCAAATTTGTGTACACAGAGTCAATCCCTTACCTCTCCCTAAATGTGCAAAGTTTCAAAAAGTTCAGTGAATAGAAGATTGTTGGGGGCGGAACAGATCTGGACAACGAGAAGAAGTCTGGAGATAAATGTGAGAAGTTAGAGACACGCAGTAGAAACAAAAGTTAAACTGTTTGAGCAGCATATTCCAGAAGTCTTGAGGTCTTTCTGAGCGTAGACTTCATTGATTTGAGATCTACCATACCATTCTCTCACTAGAAGGGAAAACCTATAATGGCAGCAGGCCGTAAAAGAGGACCAGTTGGGGAATATTTTAATGAAGTTCCTCTACCTGTGGGTAAGGACAGGTATACACGCAAAATGCGAACAGTGCAACAAAGAAATGCAAGGCCTGGTTGCCCGAATGAAACAACATCATGAGAAGTGTTCCTTCTCAGGAGAAAGCTGCGTTGAAGATGATGAAAGGAACATGTCTGAACATGCAGAATCTTCAGGTTGGTAAACTTTTATTTCATACTTCTCTCTTAAGGACTGCCCATCTTCCTTCCGGACTGTTCTTGAATTCTTGCATTTGAGCAAAAAAAATACAGTTGTTACTCTATGGTACTATCATCTTAGACGCAGTTGTGATAAAAAAAATAGCTGAAATAGGCAGCTCTTCCTTTTACAGTTTCACCTTTAAAGTAGTGCTGAGTGTTAGCGAATGCAATGAGTCATACTAAATGAGCACTATGGTAATAATAATTAAATAACTGCATTGACTTATTTTGTTTAGGAGAATCCATCCTCAACATACAGGATTCTGAAGACTATCCACCTTCAAGATCACCATTGTTTTCTATAGTTTCAGAGTTATCTGCCAATGATAGTGTTTCAGTCACATCATGTATGTCACACAGACACAGTATATCACCTGTAGCAAAAAGAAAAAAAAAAATCTCCATCACCCAGAAACAACCATAGATAAGTTTGTGATAAGAACCAGCAGATTACAAAAAGAGGTAATTGTTGAAAAAATTGCCCCATTTGTTTATGCAACAAACTCTTTTCCGTATGATTGAGAACCCACACTTCATTAACATGATTCAGTCATTAAGACCAGGATACAGTCCATCCAACAGAGCAGATGTCGCAGGCAAATTGCTGGATAAAGTGTATGAAAGAGAAATTGAGCAATGTGCAAAAGATCTAGAGGGTGAAATTGTTAACCTGAGTCTTGATGGGTGGAGCAATGTCCACAATGATCCTGTTGTACGTGCTTGTGTGACAACAGAAGAAGGGAACGTCTTCCTTACAAAAACAATTGATACATCAGGAAATGCACACATTGCAGAATACTTACAAGATGTAGCAGTAAAAGCTATAACAAACTGTGGGAAAAAAATTCAAATGTCTAGTACGCAGCTTGGTCACAGACAATGCTGCAAATGTATCCAAGATGAGAAGAAATTCAGCAGTGAAGAGAGTCCCAAGATAATAACATATGGTTGCAGTGCTCATTTGATGTAAAAGACTTCAGTGTTCCAGAAATAAAGGCTAATGTTGTTGAATTTGCAACATACTATCATAACAACCACTTTGCAGCAGCTTCTTTAAAAAAGTGGGAGGAACCAAGCTAACTCTCCCACAAGACATGCGATGGAACTCAGCAGTGGACTGTTTTGAGCACTAGATCAAGAACTGGCCTAATCTGATGACAGATGGTGAACAAAATTGTGAAAAAATAGATGGCACCATCACAGCCAAAGTTCCCAACATTGGGCTTAAGAGAAATGTTGAACACGTGCAGAGTACCTGGAAGACTATTTCTGTAGCCTTGAACAAAATGCAGGGAAATCGCTGTTTTATGGCTGACGCTGCTAAAATTTGGAAGGAACTGAGTGAGATCTTAAGCACGATCTCCAGCTCATTTTCTTGCAAATATTCTCAACACTCGGTACTGGGATCAAACCTTAACTGCCGAAGAAGAGGAGTTGGCTATGACATGGACATCCAGCAATCATCCCTCCATAATGCCAACTATAAGAAACTTCAGAGCCAAGGGTGAACCATTCAAGAAATATGTTTGCTGATGATGTTTTAAAGAAAGTCACACCAGTGAACTGGTGGAAGTGACTGAAGCACTTGGATTCAGAGACTGTTGAAGTGATAATCTCACTTTTAACAGCAGTAGCTTCTTCTGCCGGTGTAGAAAGAATATTTTCTTCCTTTGGAATAATTCATTCCAAACTGCGAAATCGTTTGGGACCTGAAAAAGCAAGAAAGCGTGTTTTTCTTTTCCAGAGTATGAACAAACAGGAAAATGAAGGTGAAGATGACTGAATAAGCTGCAGAAGCCAATATTTCAAGTTTCTCATGTTGACCTGGCTGACACAGTCTATTTAATTTTGGGTTTTTTTTTTTAAATATTTCGTTTAACTATTTTAGTTAAAAACAATTTTAACAAAACAAACCTGATTTTAAAAAATTTGAACGTTAAACTAAATTCAAAAATTCATATGCTTGTTTTGTTAAAATATTATATGTTTGCTGTTGAAGAAAAAAATCCAGAATAAATAATGTTGTTGTTTTAGTTAAATAAAACAATTTAAATGTCTGTCTGGTGATGTTCTCCTCCTAATTCAGCATGGCAAGAAAATCCTTCAAATATTAATGATTAACCTGCTGGTTTGGAGATATTTATGAAGTCATTGGGAGGTGAACTATCTGCTTCAATTACCTTTGGTAAATGAAATAACCAAACAATCATTCATTTTCTGATATAGCTGTAAAACTAATCTGAAATGTTTTCAAAATAAATCACTTTAAAAATGTATAGAGTATCTTCTAAAAATGAAACCAACATCTCTGAGTTGTGAAGAATATGTATTAAGGTTATAACAACCAACAAGAATGCACTTTTATGTAGAAATCCATGATTAAATCGAATCTTCCTGACTAGTGATTTAAATCAAATCCACCCTGATAGGTAGGACAACAAATATCTCCATTCATTCATAAAGCATCAAGTACATTTACAGAACTATAGAAGTGAAAGAAAGGTACTGCCAACTTGTAGTAAACAATTACACTACATCTCTGAATTGCCTTGCTACATTACCTTGATATTCCATTTTAATTATGGAGGAAAGGAAACTAGTATTTACCAGATTTACAGTTTTAGTTATCTAATAATTTTTAACAAAAAATGATAGAAACAGGCAGCAGGAGTCATATCCTTAGCCAGTGTAAATTGTCTTAGCTTCCTGAACATCAGTGAGTCTACAGCAATTTACATCAACTGAAGAGCTCTCTTTAGATTGCTAAATACAAGTAACAACTCCTACAATAGCTTCTTGAAAGTACACAAGAAAAGTACCTGCCTTGACAAGACAGTCCAGGCCAGGCCCATGAGTTCTTATGGCCCCAACCCTGCAGTCTTACGTACACGTTAACTTAATTGCGACTACTCAAAATGCATAAACTGAAGCACTTGCATAAGTCTTTGCAAACTCTGGGTTTAAGACTGTAATCCACATAAGTGAGCAAAACAAGTCTATTCTCAGACCCCACTGCAGGAAACTGTTCTACATAAAAAGACATCTGGAAAATAAGGAAAGAAAAATGGCATTTGAGATAAACTGAATGCAAACTCTGATTTTAAAAGTTACATTATTGCACACTAATGACATTTATGATATTTTAAAGAGTTAATAAACAATGTGTGACTTCCATTGCCCTGAAAAGTTCACTTCGCCAGTGGAAAACATTCCCTAGTGAGCAGGGCTAATGTATCAATTTCTGTGGGATCTAGATTAGAAAAAATGCTATTCTAACTCTTATGCTCAAAGAAAGACTTTCTGCTATGACTATGCAGTACTGTATTTCTGAGTTCTAGAAAACTTTAGTGCCTTTAATCCCTCTCAGCTTTCCCAAGCATTCCTAACAGTGAAATTATCAAAATTCTGGTAAGTTTCATGATGACTATTTAGAAACCCATGAGCCACAGGAAAATTGCCAAGAATCATGTTAGTTTTACTCTAATGATGCTTGTGAAAGCTACCAGAAGAGGCAGCAATGAAGTTATTCATGGGCCACGACCACACAAAAAGCTTGAGAAAAATGTAAACCAGTGATGATACCCCACTGCAGCAGCTAAGAGGCTTGGGGGTGGGGAGTGAAAGCTCCTTGCTCCTTTCCAGCAGCCAAGCTGACGTGAAAGGAGAGGGAGGAGAGAAAGTGGGTTCAAATTTATCTACTAGCCAGGCCGATATGCCAGATGGAGCAGAGTCTGTGAACACCACCCAGGCAGGAATCCCAGAGCCCTAACAGCAGCAAGGGAGATGAGGGACATGGACTTCTCACCTACATTCCGTCTGGAGCTTGCTGGAAGGCTCCTGCACCTCATTTTTCATATCAGTCTCTCATGTACAGCCCTTTGGCATCTTGTAAATTTTTCAAGCACTGCCCTTTCTATATGGCACTCTTCCTTGTAGGAAAGTTATTTGCAAATCAGAACTGGAAGCTCTAGAAAACACCTATTCCAGAAGAAACCAAGCTATCCCAAAAGATATCATGATTTTCAGCATTTTTAACAGAAAGGCCAAGGACAGAATAAGTATGTAGACTGAACTCCCTTCTCAGGGTTAGACATAGCTGACAGAGGTAAAAACGTCTGTACCCTGTATATACACAGCTTTCAACATTGCTGCTACCAGAGGAGTTGCATTGGTGCAGAATTACATGTCTCATTTTTCCTGATTCTTGGTACCTAGTTTATTGTGAAGGCCCAGACCAGGCAGGATGAGAGAAACATGTATGAAACACTCTGGCCTGTATCTATCATATGGAAGGACTACAATCTTCAGGGTTGCCAATCAGGCAAGGACCTTTAATCAGTACTAAACATATAATTTAATATAAATAAAAAATAAGGTGGTATGCTGAGTGCTCTCCCATGAATTATAGATTTTAAAAGAGATTTTCTATGATGTTATTCATAATGGTATTCAGGATTTTCCCCAATAATCCAAAAAAAAATTCATCTATAAAAACTCAGTCACTCTCTTCTGCACTTTCTTATAGCACAAATGGAGAAGTGAAGGTTGTGGGCAATATTATCTGTAGTAGCTGGAATATCCTTAGCAGGAAGAAAAAATGTGATGAACGCAATAATAAATTAATATAGCTAATACTAGGAGCACACAAAAAACATTTACTTTAATCAGTAAGCTCAGGTAACCACAGAGGAAAACAGACTTGATAACCTGAAGTCTTTTCGAGTAGGGAATCAAGCTTTAAATAATTTTAATTCGTATTGTACTCTGGAAGGGCACAAACTATTTTTAAAAATCCTTT